GTGGTGCGTGCGTGCGTGCGTGCGTGCGTGTGTGTGTGTGTGTGTGTGTGTGTGTGTGTGTGTGTGTGTGTGTGTGTGGACGGGGAGAGGAGAGAATGTAGATAAATGAATATATGTAGTTGTGTGTATGGGTGTAGATGGTGTAGATATGGGTGTGTGTGTATGGGTATGTGTGGGAGCGGGACGAGGGAGAGAATGTAGATATGTGATTGTGTGTATATGAGTATGTGAGTATGTGGGTATTTGTATGTGGGTAGATGTGTGGATTTGTAGGTATGTGGGTATGTAGGTGTATGGATTTTGTAGGTATGTGGATGTGTAGAGCGAGCGTGGCATAGAGACAACGCATTGGTCTACTAAAGGTTCCTGGTTCGATTCCCGGCAGAACCAAAAATATTTACGCTCGTCTCCTCTCGGAAGACATGGCACCGAGGTATTGTTAAAGACGGTCGGCCATGGGAAAATTTTTAACTGCGGGTCTGGAGATAATTGAAAAATAATGATATTATCAACCATTTTGACTGAGAATAACAAAGGGAGGATAACGTATTTATTACTATTATTATGACGCATTTAATTTTCCTTTTACGAATTATTTATTAATTTTCCTTTTACGAATTATTAATTTAAAATTAAATCCGTCATAATAACAGTAATGAATAAACGTTATCCTCCCTTTATTATCCTTAGTCAAACGGTCGATAATATCATTATTCTTCAATTATCCTCGGACTTGCTTAGCAGTCACGAAAATTTACCCACGGCCGACCATTTTTAACAATACCTCGTCTGTGGCAATGACAAATCATCGAGAGTAACTTTGCTATGAGCTTCTCTCTACTAAAAAATTTGCTGTTCGGAACCGGCATTAAATTTATAGGTCCCATATACATGTGTATAATCATCGTGCGCATCACAGATATATGAGAGAGAGATTACTACGCTCAGACACGAGTAGCAGGACTGAAATAAATAAAAGGTGTGTAGAAGAGACTGGAGCTAAAAGTAACAAGAGCGAGTTGTAACATCTATATAAAAAATATTATAAGCAAGACATAAAAATATAAAGAAGAGATAAAAGTTTATAATGGCACTAGCTAATATGAGTGTCTATCTTTTTTATGTTTTTATATCTTGTTTGTAACATTTCTTATATAGACGTTACAATTAACTTGCCACTTATTTTTAATACCCCAGTCTACTTTATATAGAACAATAAAAGTTTTTACCGATGCATAATAGGTCATAGACAAGTTTGGTAATGCACATGGAATTGAAACGGTGACTGGATGTTGACTTCTTAATATGACATACATTAAAATCTTTCGTCTGGTTAGATCGCCATCGTACCACAATGATTCGTACATGGCGGAAGCTATATTGCTACTCTAATAAAAAATTTTAAAAAATATTAGTAATAAAAGGCGCTTATTAAATTATAAATAAAAGATCAGAAGCATAAAAGCGCAAATCAATATGTGTCAAAAATTGCTAATTTGAGACACGCGAGCATTGACATGCGTTTCACCACAGGCTTTTTTGAACACATTAGGTCACATTTCTGTTTTAAAGTTTGTAATTCGCTCAAAACTTGGATCAATCACCTTATGAAATTAAATGTTAGATTACACATTAGGATACGGTTTCTCAAAGCTTGCCTCAATTTAGGCTTGATTCCTCAGCATCTACGCCACATTGTCAAATATAATAACATCAGTTTATTCCAGAGGTCTTTTTATGATAAGTTAAAACGAACTTTTAACAACTTTGCGCTGAGAATACTAAATATCGAATTGCGTGATACTTATAAGCATCTACAGTTCGTGAGACAAAAGATTTTCAATTTGTACAAATCGATATGCGATAATTTGTCCTTCGCTATATGGGCTGCGTTTTTCAGCTGTCAAGAAAAGATCACATTTAAATTTTGGAACGAAGAAAGAAATAGGATTGACAAGAAAATTTCGTGGTTAATCTCCAGCACCTGTGTGATCAAGAATAAGAATATTGCACCTGTCTTCTATTTTATTAATATTTCTGAGCCTTGTCCTGATAATTACTCTCCATCATCTCCATTTACTGAACGTGTGATGATTTCTCTCTCCGAACCGAAAGATTCATCCTTTACCAGCGAAGTCCACAATATTCATATTTCCCCGAGATATGCTCGCTCCTACATCTTCCTTCAATTCGGTTCATGAATGGTTCATAAATCTCAGCAAGGTTCAAATCCCGACAGAGGTTACACTCCTCTTATAATTAGGGCACTTATAGATTTAATCTTCCTATGTTTAATAATAAAGAGAAAATGATTATCTAATTCATCAAAAACATTGAGAAAAACATTTTCAAATTCCATGATGATTTGTGTAACCGAATAAGAAACGATTCCGTTTCCTATCCTACACAAGTTACATCACTACAAACAGCCAATAAACTTAGATATTGCTTCCCTTAGGAGTTGGTTGCTGACCACGAAGCAATTCATAAAAAATCATCCGAACGGACTTTTCACTAGAGCAAACAAGGGTAACGTCACAGTGTTGATGGAAAATTGAGTATACTGATAGGGCTTTGTCTGATAACAATACGTATACGAAGATCACTTTTGATCCCATTAAAAGATTGACAGCTGGACAACACGTTCCCTCTTATTAAGTTGAAAGAGCAATGGTTTTATAGACGGTGATTTGTATAGGAGACTGATGGTTTCTGATGGTGTTCTACCGAGAGCTTACGAACTGCCAAAGATCCACAAACCAGATTTTATTATTGTCTCCTCTATAAATAGTCCATTATATCCGTTGGCCTCCTTTTTACATTCCATCATCTTCAAAAGTATTCCTAAATCGCTCGGTTATATCAGTAACAGTCGCCATTTGATAAGCTAAATGGGATGTCGTTATGTTCTAATTATAGGCTGGTATTACTGAATGTGATTTCGCTTTTTACCAACGTCCCAACAGATCTTGTGGTACAAAGTATTAAGAAGAAATAGAAGTACCTATCTAATCACACCAATATCCCGCAAAATGAATTTCTTCGAGCTGTCTCCCTTATTTTAGATTCAACTTTTTTTACATTCAACAATTCGTTTTATAAACAGATCTTTGGTACTCCCATGAGCTCACCTTTATCACCTGTGATCGCGAAAATTAATGCAAGATCTTGAGGAGGCTGCTATTGCCAGAATACCCATTGATCTCCCGTTCTACGTCAGATATGTTGACGACATTTTATTAGCCTCTCCTCCGAATCATCTTGAGGATATTTTACACAATTTCAATTCGTATCATGACAGATTACAATTCATTATGAAGATCGATAACGATGGCCGTATTAGCTTTCTTGATATCTTGTTAATAATTAAAGAAGAAAGGATCATTTTCGACGTGTACAATAAAGCAACCAACTCAGGTAGATACTTTAATTTTCACTCTCACCACCCGTTAGCTCACAAAGAGCTGTTTTCGGAATGGTCGATAGAACAGTCTTTCTTTCCCATCCTGTATTCCACACCAAGAATCTGGTAAATTCGATTAATATTCTTTTGAACAACTCATACCCTCTGCAATTTATTTTCACGATCAACGATCAATAATCGAATTAAACATTTATCACATTTAGAAAATTGCAGAGTTCAAACGTTGATTCCGTTGTGGATACCATTGATAGTTCCGAAAATTACACTCCTCGCAAACCATTCTTCTCAGTTCCTTACGTCAAAAACGTATCTGAGAAATTTTCAACTATAGCCAATAGATTCAATCTTCAACTTGCTTATTCAATAACTAACTCCCTCAGCACATTTATCAAAACTGACAAAGACACACTAGATCCGATGGCATGCCCGGAAGTTGTATATGAAATTAATTGCAAAGATTGCGATGCGACTTATGTTAGCCGGACAAAAAGACTGCTTAAAACAAGAATTAATGATTTCCGAGATATTAACAAATGCAACAATTCTCCTTCGGTCATTTCTATGCATGGAAGAGAATCGCGTCATGAGTTTAATTGGAATAATATTAAAATTTTGAACAAAGAACCGTCTTGGAACAAAAGAATAGTTTCGGAAATGATTCATATCAAAAAACAATCTCATGGCCTGAATAAGCAAAGTGACACGGATCTTTTGCTTAATTGTTACTTCTCTATCCACAATTTACCATCCTCCCACAAATCCCCTTCCTCCAAACATTACATCCTCTCCTTATCATGCTACTCAGTTTTTATTTTGTGCAAAGTCGGTCTCGGTCTTATTCCTACACAGACTTTCAATGTTTTTGCCACATTTATCGATCATTTGTATTATATCATATTATAATTTCCGATTATTCAACTTGCGCCATTGACTGTCTCCAAGATACTTTATTTTGCTTGCTTTAATTTTAGTCATCTTTATTATCACATTCTGTTTTAATACGTCATTGCCATCCATGTTCGATTATTTTTGGATTATCGTTGATCAACTTTGATTAATTTTTTTCCCGTTTTTTGTATTTTACTATTTAGGACCAACTTTCAATTTTTATTTACGACGTCACATGGTGTTCAAGCATGGTATCTTTACTTGGAAATTCGCCACGATACACTCGCACAGATGCTCCGACGCAATATCGATCTCAAAAAATTTATCGGACCACGAGGCAAAGATATGTGTTTCCGACTTTTGTCACCATCGATGACTCCGCCATATATGTTGCGTAACTTTGATCTTTGTACAATTTTAATACATAACCATGTCTTTTAATATCGCTTTACATAATCTTTCACCTATGGAATATACTTAGATAATTAATGTGCGAAGCTTTTTCTCTTTTTTTGACGCGTATCGTTAGGATTATTATTTTAAGTCTTGTTTTTCGACTATTTTCAATTTTTATCTCATTGAGGATGACCTAATATAAGGTCGAAACGACGTTGTTTATTAAGTTCGTTTATTAATTTTGTTTATTAGATTCTTATATTACATTTATGTATTTATTTTCACGAATTATATACGAAAGTTTTTGACACATACTGATTTGCGCTTTTATGCTCTTGATCTTTTATTTTTAAAAAATATGTTAAAAAAGAGTCAAAATATTATTGTCTTTATTACATATATATATTTTATATATGCGTTTTATTTATTATATAAACAACTAACCATACTCATTACATTGTCAGCTGGCCAAGCATACATATAAAGTTCCACAAAGCCACAGAAAGCTATCATAAGAAACGTCCATTTCACTGACCATGGTTGATGCTGTTATACATAAATATCAGAAAAAGATGACATTCGGATCGAGCACACACACACACACACACACACACACACACACACACACACACACACACACACACACACACACGA